TGGGCTAAGGGATAGAATGGGACTTATTTGAGCCATACTTTTACTGTCATATTTTCTAGTGGTGAATTATTAGTTTGAACCAGGAGAGTTGAGTATAAACCTGGACAGTAAAAATGAATACAACCTGATAGACTTACTTCCTACTTATATTTCAGTTCCCAGTGTACTTTTTAAAAGTGTGTATTCACAGCTAATTCTAAATAATGTTTTTATCTTGACTATCAGCTGGGTTTTTTGATTTGTGTAGGGTTGTTTTTTTTTTCCCAAGAGATAGGACTATTTCAGTTAAATTTAGAGTTTAACAAAAAATAGCAATTACTTTCCAGAATGCAATATTGTGTATTTTCCCCCCCCCCCCCCGGCACAGGATATGTTCTTTAATAATCAGTGTGTAACCACTGTGATTAAAGAGGGAGAATGCAATGTGAAGAACATACTGCAGATGTATTGAAATGTATTGTTCCACTTGGTTGTGAAAAACCAGCGGTCAGGGAGTTGCAAACACAAATCTTCTAGGAAGCAATCTCAGATAGTTTGTTGTAAATCTGCTGGAAAAGACTTTGGAAATTTGAGCTGGAAATTAGTCTTGCAGGAAATGCTACCTAATGTTTATTTTGGGAAATGTGTAACATCTGGAACACAGGCCTGTTGCTTCTTAAACTCATCAGTATCTGTGAGACTATGTGTATTTCAGGATCAGGCACAGTTTGCAAATTAGTGTTTTGAAACCTTAGTTTTAGAAACTGCATGTGTAAGCTCCTTTTTCACCCCCTTTCACTTGGAGTGGAAAAAGATGTGTTCAAATTATTTTATTTCTGCAGCAAATAAACTCTCAATGTGTTGGTAGTGTACTCAGTTTCAATGTTAAATATTTTTATTTGTGCATGATAGATATTTTCCTTCAATAAATAATACACATTACTTCTGCAATGTTCTGATCGTATCAGTAACTCCCTGTAGGAAGTAGATATTCTAAAAGGTGGCAGTCATTAAATGGGAGTGATTCAAAGCTATTATTAATTTAGGCTGGATTGGAATTAATGACCTGGAGATGAAGTGTTGGTATCACATTACCGCTCCACTGAATAATCTGGTTTCCTTTATTTTTTTTTTCTTTTACATGAGTGTAATAAGAGAAAGGGGGTTCTAAATTAATATGACAGTAAAAGTTAGGAATTGAGCTGATCTTTTTTTAAACTATTCATGGCTTACATAGCATCTTTTTGGAGCTGTAATAAGGACTTGGAGTCTATAGCTGTAGTTACATTTCTTCTGGTGTGCATTACCTTGTAGAAATCTATTTTCCACCATGTAGAAATGTCATTATTCAGCATTCTGGGGTCCTTTGCCATTTATTGAAATCAGTTTTATGTTTGACAAACATGATTTACAGTTTACTGACTTTTTACCTCATATCTTACTCCTTTCATATACATTTAGCATGTTCAAAATAGTGTAAGTTTCAGTTTGCATCTCTGGGAAGGACCCTGTGCATATTGCACTTGGTTATCAAAAACTACTTTTATTCCAATCCTTTTACTTTTTTTCCTGTATCCAAAATGAGCTTGATTTTATTGAAAATCCATCTGATACCCAGCTGTTAAGATCAAGTGGGTTGTATCAGCTGGGTAATTTTCATTTACAGACCTGTTGCTTCTCAGAAATATAATAATAAAGGAGCTAAAAACGTGATGACTGTCCAGTGTGTTATATTTATCCATGTGCACCTAATCCCATTATTCACTTGTTTATTTACATCTCTACCTTGTGTGAAAGCTAGGTTTACTGATTTGTGATTCCTAGAATCATAAGGCTTTCTGCATCTGCCCACTCCTGTTCCTCTGGCTCTATTCCAAAGCATTGTGATTGAATTCCCATAGAATTCAACTCTGCTTGACTGAAAACCTTTGGGCTCTGACAATTTATTGCCATTCAGTTGAGAGATCTGTTCTAGAAGTTCTTCTGCTGATTCTTTAGTTTATTGTCTCAGTTTCATTTCCTGTGGAGTGTGGGAACCCCTCTGGCCAGCACTCCAACAAGCTTCCTCCTCTCCCTCTCCTCCCCTCCCCTCTCTCATAGATGCTGATGCAGAGAATTCTATTAGTTTTTCTACAATTGCATCATCATCTTTAAGTGGTTTGTTTTATGTCTGGTTTATTTGACATTTTCACCTCCTTTCTCAGTTATTTTCTGATTCTGCTGTATTAGAAGATTCTATAGTTTAAATCAGTTGAAGGCAGTAAAATGCATCTTTCTTTGTATAATCCATTTCTTTTGCCTTTTTGCCCTTTCTCCTACTTGTTATATGAATAATTATATTTTTCTGGGCAGAAGGGAGGGTTTTTCTCATGTTACTAATATGAAAGAGGTGAGTTATTACAGTGCTCTCATATAATTGCTTAGTTTTGTCTGCTTTAGGATTTCACTGTTTGAGGTGTTTATTATATTTCCCTTGGGAAATGAACTTTGGATTTCTAAATCAGTAGTCATAGAGCGAGCACATTCATGGCCAAAACTAGCATCACAGTGGGTATTTCTGTGTACCTGCTGAAGAAGGAAGAAATACGAGGAAGTGAAATCTTGTCATATTTTGACATTGATCCTCCAGTTTTGAGGTTACTCAGTGTGATGGGGAGGCTTCTTCTGCGAGTTTAATATTATCCCAATAACTGGAGCTGTGTTCACCTGGCAGGTAAAAAATATTGAATACTGATGATGTACATGAAATAAACCCTTTCTGTCTTAGCTGTGAACAATTTATTATTGAACTCTCAGAATTTCTGATAGGTTTTATCCAAATTGTCTTCCCTGGCAGTGGGGTTACTGTTCCAACACCGTTGTTTATGCCTATAACCGACCTGACCGCCCGGAATGCTGTGTAGTCTTTTGGGACACAAAAAACAATGAGAAGTATGTAAAATATGTCAAGAGCCTTCTTTCCATAACAACTTATGGAGACTTCTGTGTTTTAGCGACTAAAGCAGATGAAAATCAACCTCAGGTAAAGCCTGTCTTTTAATTTTCAATTGAAATGCTCTGTTCCACATGTCAGTTCTTTACAGCCAGAATAAGATGAAATGGGAAAGTCTAAATCTGTCTTAGAGTTGTCAGTTGTTATTTGACAGAATGGCACTTGAATGGGCTCAGTGTTTAAAAACAAAGAACCCCAACAAACAACAAAGTAACTGATTAACTGCCTCTACAGTTTAACTCCTTGTAGCCATTAGTAACCTAATAAAACTGAAGACTTCCAGATTAATGTTTCTTCACAAATATTTAGAACAGTTCTCCAGAGACTAGCTAAAAGCAGGAGAGCATCGAAATGGTAATGAATATTTCATCAGTCAGAAATGGAAAAAAAGGGCAATTTCTTAGGTGATATAAATTACATGTTACTACAAACTGTTCTGTTTATTAATTTATTTTATATGTACTGACAAATGATATGATAAATGTATCCTTTGGCTAACGAATGTTCATTTAGTGTCATGCTAACTGCTAAATGATTTTTCTTACTGCAATTACTTCTGAATTATTTTCTATATCACTTGTATATTGCTTACCAAGGAGGAGAATGAGACAGAGTCATTTGGTGCAATGGTAAAAAAAAAAAAACAATCATGCTTTAGTGCTGCTTTGCTTGATTGTGCAATAAATGGTGTACTGTCATATGGACTGAAAATATACATGGCAAAAAACATTTGGTGAAGTTGAGTGCAATATAATGAGTTTTTTCTGGATGGTATTTTAAAAACGGGAAACAAACAGTGGAGGGACTTAGTGTAACTTTCTTGAGCATAAATAAGAGATTTAATTTTAGCATCTGAAAATTACAGATAATAAGGATCTTTCAGTTTTTTTGAAATGGCTCCAGTATAATTATTAACACCATGAGGGGCCAGCTTTTAGGAAATGAAGTTCACAGGTTTAAGGGTAGCAGTTCATTGGAGTTGCTTTTTAAAAAACAGATTTGTTTTACAAGAGATTTTGGTCATTAGGATTGTGATTTCAAAATGGCAGAATGTGCAGCAATAGTTGAGGGGGCTAAAACCCTAATTTCAGCAGGCCCTTTTTAAAGGTATTGCAAGTGGGTTGTGAGTGTCAGTAAGTTAGGAAGGACTTAATGTTGATATCCATAGTAAGGCTGGATAAATCAGAATGCAAACTCCCTGCCCCTAGCACTGCTCTCTGTAGGTTGTACAGCCTCTGTCTTGGATACTGTTAGTCCATCACCCCTTGTCAGGCTCTGATCTACTGACCTGGAGTCTCAGAGATTACTAAAGAGGGTATAATATAAACACGATGGAAATAAAAAAGCCCAGTGTGGTTTCCTACAGGGGTGAAGGCTCAACATATTTTTTTCTGGAAAAGAAAAACTTGAGTATGCTGGTGTAAAGTTTAACTCATGAACAAAGAAATAGAAATTCTATCTTTGTGAGGTGCTTATTGATGGCAGAAACAGAAAAAATAAATTTTTTTCATGAAAAGAAATCCTTGTTCAGATCTTTTTCTTCAAAAGAGTGAAGTTCATATAGTAGCTGAAAAGCTGTACTGAGCTGTTCTCATGTGATTAATAAGCTGTCAATCTGTCATTTTAAAGGGGTAAGCTGCACAGTTGCTCTGGTCTGCTACCACAATTACAGGAATTGTTCAGGAGGTGAAAGAGCTTTGAAAAACTAATTATCTTTCATTTCCTGGAGAGTCAAGGTATCAGCTCTTAGGCAATTCAAGTTTTGGTAGCCCAGTATATTTTGTTTATTTTTATTTTATTTTAGGTCTAAAGATTTGACAGTAAAAGTTTCTCCTTAATGTCCACACTTGTCATTTAAGACATTTTCCTATACAATCACTGTTAGGCTATCTTATCCTTGATTTAGGTCTAGAGAAGTAAATACATCTGCTACAACAATGAAGCATTGGTGTCTTGTCAAGTTTTATTTATTTGTACCTTCTTGAATTTAACAGCCCAATCTGAGGTTCCTGTGCTATCAGAACCTTCCCGAGCAGGATTACAAGGAGGGCAAAACTAACAAAACTCACCAGTTTTGTAGCACCTGTGATACTGCAGGGCAAAGGGACAGCCTTGTCACCTTTCTCCCCACACTGTTACCTTCTTAGAGGTTCAAGGAGATGGAGGTCTGTGAAAGATAGAACAAAGGTCCTCCTAGCTTTTGGGAGTTTTTAGGTTATGTTTTGCATGGACAGCTGATGAGAGTCGCTGTTGGACCATGCTCGTAGATAATGGCAGTGCGGTGAGTGCCTCACACACAGCAGGTGACACACTGGCTCTCTTGCCCACGTCTTGTCTGTGGACTGTGCTGGTGGAACATCCTACCTGTCGTATTTCGTCTGGTAGATTTGCTCCTTTGCTTAAACAGCTGTTTTGTGCTTGTTCTTTTTTTATAGTGCTAATTGCCAAATAGCTCATTACTCTCATGCTTATGCTGCTTTATATTTACTGCAGTCATGGTCCCTCTGTTTTCTGTTGCTGATCAGCATTAAACTGTGTGACATGTGGGTTATGAGATGCACCTTCACGGAAAACCTTGTGCAGGTTACTAATTTAGAAAAAAATATGGTAGTAATGACCCTTCCTTTTGTTTCCATACAGTATGTGCTGGTTCTCTGCAATTCTATTGGCACACCCTTGGACCCAAAATATATTGACATTGGTAAGCAACTGGCAATAGTCTTATTCTGTTGGCTTTTTTTTTCTAGTCTTTTTTAGTTAATTTCTTATGCAAGTCTCTTTTTCAGTTATTTAATTACTGTGTGTTCACATCAGTGATTTGCATCCAAATGGTGTGACCTTCTGTTCTATATGTACTTGTAACTATGATTTTATATTGGCTTCTCCCTTCTAGTTGGAATCTCTCTAAGTAAAATAAACATGTAATCAGAAGTTCCCATGTTGTGAACTGTAGTTTTTGTTGGAAATAACCTCTTAATTACTCTGTTAATATAAACAGTGGCTTATAAAACTAGTCATATTCGGAAAAGGTACTTTGAAGAGGGTCTAGTTTATCAGAGCAAGTGAAATAATTTGATCTGGACTTTGATTTAAAAATAGCTTGTTGCTGCTTCCCAAATTATTGTATTTCAGTGTTGATAATATCCCTTCCTTATCTTCCTCACAATTGTTTTACCTAAATAGTTTCATATTATAAATTAAAATTCAATTTAAAAAAACCTCAGTGGATTATAATAGTATGAAAATACCTCTAAATCCCAGGGCTGAACTCCAAGCTTTCACTACTGCTTGTTTGCTGCAGGTGTGGTGCAGAACACTGCCAAGTAATTGCAAACCACTGTTTTCTGGGAATTTTACTTGAGGATAAAGATCATGGATTTTTTTTTTCCCTTTAAATAGATGAGGGAAACATGGACAAACTGCCAAATTAATGAGCTTTTTGATTAATGAATCCACTTTTGTTTCTTCTGGGTCTTGCTTTATTTTTGTTTCGTTTTCCGAATGGATCTGAATTTGGATTCAGAGTAGACACTGTGAACCCCCTTTGCAGTTTTTGTTTTGAAGCTTCATTCTGTTTTGTTGAAAGGCTAAGTAATTTGTAATGAAGGTTTAGCAAAAATATTTTCTTTTGAATGACAGAGGAGAGTCTAGTTATTTAAATGAAAAGTATATACTTAGTTTTTGAACCTCTTAACAAAGTGATGAAAAGTAGAAGGGGTATTTGGCTGTAGACATCAAATGTGATCCCTGTGTTGGAAAGGTGGGATACACTGTACCCTCTGCTGTGATCAGTCATGTGGCACTTTGTGAGCACACTAAAATACTTAGGGAAAAAAAACAGTCTCCACATGTCTGATACAGTAAAGGAGCATAGGCATACTGAACAGGTTATGGATAAAGCAATTGTTTATTTTAAACCTGGAAGAATTGCTCCCCTCTCACTTTATTAATATAAATATGTCTACTTAATATGTGCATATAGCTTTGGAAATTATGTGCTTGGATTCTGCAGAAATTAGATTTAATTTTTAATAAAACCGAACCAAAATCTTTTTTTTGCCTGTGCCAGAAAGGGACGTAGCTATTATGACAGGAAACCTCAAAGTTTTTTCGGTGTTGATTGCCTTCTAGACCCATTGTTTCATCTCTTCTGCAAAATGAAACTCTTCTGTCTAAATTAATATCATCAGAGAAGTTAGTTCCAAGCCATAGTGCTAATACTTGATTTTAATATTAAACAATGAGCAGCCATTCTATCTGATAAAATAGATGGGAAAAATGTCTAGCAAAGTTTTAGTGAGATAGAAATGTTGAGCAAAGTAAGGTGAAGAATTATTAGACAAGGAAGCAACAGCAATTCACAGAAGAATAAAGGTAGGAAAAAAAAGCAACCAAAGACTAGAAATAGTAGAGATCATAAAGATGATTATTTTCCTTAACCAGTGGTTCTAAACAGTTTTATTCTTTATTATATGTTAACTAAATTTGTAAGGCTGTGTCATTTTCTAATGTTCATTTTTTCTGTAATAGCAGCAGGTAATCAACTGTGAGTCATATATATATATGGTGAAACTCATGCCTTATATTGCAGATCATAATTAAAATGAAAAGTATCCTGTGCTGATAAATGAGTTTCATTACTTTTTCCTATGGAGTGTATGTGAAATGTTGTGGAGGTTTTAGTCTTGTAATTTCTGTTTGTGTCAGTTTGATGTCCTCTTGCCACTTTTCACAACAGGGGTGGCACATCAGAATCTTAAGGAACAAACTGTCCAGGAAATTCAGTATCAAAACTTTTATAATGGATGGAGGGGAAAAAAACCCAACAAACCAACCCAAAGTCCCCAAAAACATCCCTCCTGCTGAAAATAGAAATCCAAACCTGAGCACTGAAGTAAGATGCTGTGGTGGATGATAGCATTGTGAGTTGGGTGTCTGTTGTGTCCCCCCTGTCCCGTATGTGCACACACATGTTATATATGTGTCCACCAGTTTCCAGAACATAATGGGCAGGTGGGATTGGGGTGGTGGGAGGAGGATTCAGGGACTTAGAGGGGGTAGTTTGTCTCATTTCTACAGCTGACATCTAAAATAAGTTCAGTGAATCATTCCTAAAGGGGTCTTTTTGCTCTTCGTTGGGTACAAAGAAGCCCAGGGCAGACAGCTCATCCGTCAGAGATGTCTAAAATTAGGTGAGATGAATCCCACTCAGATGGTCAAAATTAGCTTTGCATGGACACCTCTACCTCTGCCTGTAAACTTTTTGCTTGGCATTTTTCTAGTGTTGTCTTTATGTGAGCACTCTGAATCTATCTGTGATAGTTTTATTTATATTATCAACAAAGGTATCCATTTCTTTATGATTCCTCTACTATGACCCATCTACAGCTGACTGTAAAAGAGTCTTCTCCAGTGACTGAAAACAGTTACAATGAAATGCTATTTAATTGAAAAATGCTGCTGTTATTCCAACTGTATTTGAATTGTCCTGAAGAGATTAAACGATCTGGAAAATGCTTCTCTTCCTTTAGCATAACTAAACTTTCTGCAGTCTCCTGCTGTTCCCTCCAGTGCCTGAGGACCAGTTGAGTGCATAGATTTGCAATGCTCTTCCCTACTGTGAGTTCACTTGGGAAAATACTGGGCATTATAGCCTTCAACCTCATAGATAGGCAAATTACTAGAGGTTGGGAATATTTGCCTTTTGAGTCCTGAAAATTTTCTGTAGCCTCAGTAGTTCAAGCATTACAAGCAAGTCTTTCATTGCTGTTTATTAAACACAGTCAAAGATTCAGCCTTTTCTTTTTAATATATGCATCCTACAAGACTCCTTTAAAGCTTGTCCACCAAAATTACAGAAGAGCTTGAAGGTAAAAGTGAAGAGCAAATGCCTTTAAATGCAGCAGTTTTGAACACATTGTGCTGGCTTCATCATAGTTACTTTCCTTTTTTTTGTAACATTTGAAGATGCGACTTTATAGAACAATTTGAAATATTTATAACATAAGGTCAGTTTGTGTGAGGGGTTGACAGCTGTACATAATCAAGGTCTTATTGTACAGTATATCATGCTGTTTATCACAGTTGGAGCTTCTTGGCAGTAGGATGTGTAATTGTTCCTTTGACAGCATGCTGAACTTAAGCAGCTGTCTGGCCTTGCTGAGGTCAATAGAGAGAGAAGACCTTGTAAAACTTTAAGGACAAAAGACCTTTCCAAAAGTTCATGTAAGATTTCAGTAGGTACATAATTTGTAACAAAATCATTACCTTTTGTCCTGTTTATGAATGAGAAAAATCAGCATTAAATCAATTTTCAGGTGAGAGTAATCATTAATAGTTTAAGATATAAGCAGCACAAAAGTAAAATTAACACATCTGTTACTCAAGACAATTGGAGGGGTGTTATTGACTTATGAAAAATGTATCATCTGTTGGTTAAATTCTCTTTTTTCATCTCCTTTCTACCAATACACTTTTTCAATTTTCTTTTAATAAAGCAATAAATTGCTGCATTAAATTCCATAAAATAATTTCCTTAGGTAACTTTTGTTTTGAACTCTTGTTCTTGTTTCAGACTTTAAGTGCCATCTTTCAGAGTGGCTTAAATACAACTTAGGTTGTTACTTTATTTGATTTTCATAAACACTTATGGAAAATTATTTCTCATGCTAGGATGTTCTCAACAAACCACTTGGTATCTGTGTGCTCCTTCCTGTTGTTGAGTGGCTGCTCTTCCCTGCCATGAGTCTAAACTCTGTTTCACTGGCTGTAGTTACTGCAGTTTGGACACACACCATCTTTGGCAGATTGTCCCTTGTTGGAACAGCAATCACCTGGTGCTCTCCTGAGCATAAAGGGTTTACTCCTCCTCGAGACTTTAGTGCTGTGCTCTTGGACAAAGGCTCTTGGGCTTTGTCCTGGCAGGAAATTGATAGTGGAGAAAAAAAGATTGCTCATTTAGGGATGCTAAGTAACTGACAGGATCTTTGAATAATGCATCTGAGAATGTGTGTTAAGGCACAACTTGTATGAATTGTCAATTTATAACATTTTATAATGTTCCAACAAAGTGCTATTAATCTCCTAATGAATTGTGACATTGTGCAATGTTTGATTCACCCCCAGGAGATGCAAATCTTAGGTTGTTGGGCTCTATGCCAGTAGTTCAAGAAAGGCTCAAAAGAAGAAGTGCTTATTTCCTATATTCTGTTGAGTTTTTAATTATGTCGTTATCTTTCTAATGCTTGCCTCTGCTAACAGTGACAAATACTGATTAATCAGTCATTATCTGATGAAGGGCCATCACTTCAGCTTTCTTTAGACATTGATGGATGGTTCCACTTTCAGGCTGTTCCTCATATTGCTTTTTATTTTGTCCAAAGGCATTTTTCTTCCTGCGCTTCCTGTGCCTTGTGTTTGAGGTCCTTCACAATAGCTTGTGTTTGCTAGCCCATAAATTAGTCTTTTCTTCATTGTCTAGCATTATTGCATTCCATCCTACTCTGGTACAAAAATTAACTAACACAGTTTCTTCTGTGCTTGTTCCATAGGCTCACAGGCTTTCTGTTGAAGTCCTTTGATGAATAACTAAATATAAACTACAGAAGGTTAAATATCTTGTTATATAATATCTTTTTAATGGAAACACAACAGATGGTATCTGTTAAGAAAAGGTCACTCAGGCTGGATTATATCATCTTCTTACATGTGCTTAGGAGCGCTGACACAGGGAAGTGTTATCTTTCAAGTGTGCCTCAGTACCCAGTAAAATTCATACAACAGCCTGACCAACATACAGGTGGATTAAAGGCAGAGAGCTGGAGTTGTGCCCAGGTGTCTCGCCTCCCTCCTGGATGCCTTGAAAAGGGTGACTGAGCTACATGTGAAACAGCATTTGAATTGCTGTTACTTAAAGTTGAACCCTTTAATGTAAATTATAACTGATTTTGAGTATTTGTGTTCTGTAAACTGTGTTTGTTCATGAGTCGTCCCACATGCAGTTCAGTTGTCCCAGCTGCTGCCTGACATTTTCTTATTTGTGAGCCAACACTTCTAGAGACATTTGAATCAAGCTCTAAAATTAGGTAGATTTTCTTGATTAGACTAAGTTCATTCCAGTTTCTCAGGAACAGCCTGTATCAGACTTGTATGAAAACAACAGTTTAGTATTGTGTCTGTCTGTCAGATTGCTTCCTCTCCATCAGATTTGGGTGGGATGACTTGCCTGTCTTGTATTTGTGCATCCCCTTTTTAGTATACTAGAAAGTACCTCAGCTTTTTCATGCGCCAAAGTAACGCAGTCATGCATTAAGTTTGTTTTCCATTTACTATTTTTGTAAGAAGATCAGACATGAAAACAGGTGTTTTCTTACAGTTTTGAAGTGAGATGGAGTGTGTGTGGATGAAATGCAGACATTGCGGAAAGTTAGTTGAGATTCCTGGATATCTCAGAAGTAAAGCTTTTTTCCTTCGGGGAGGAGGTTTTATGAAGGAGCAGTGAAGAGAAATGAGGTGAGAAGAGAAAGAAGGTCCAGAGAAAACTGACAGGGCAGTTGTTTCACACGTTGGAGTTGTTTTGATGGGGGCGCTATGTTTAATGCTTTTCAGTATTTGATCACTGAAACGTAAGGCACCTGTTTAAATGTTTTCCATACATATTTTCAAGGTCTGAAATTTAGGTATTGTCTTAGTACTGAAGCTGGCTATCTGCAAAATCAGCAGGAGGAGATAGACTATCTCAGAAGTCCATGTTTAGCAAGGGAAAGCTGCTATGCAGTGGAAGTGCTAAGCAGAGGAGGATCCAAATATCTTGCCTCCTTCAGACTTTAGGTGCTTGCATTTCTGTCTGATTAATAGTCAGAGCGCAGATTCTGTGAAGGGCACTGATGCTCAAGTGAGCAGCACTGGCTGCTTAAACCAATGCTACTGTATAAGATGATAATACTTCTCTACAGTAAAGGAAACTAAGTAGTTAAACCAGCTGCTCTGAAAGGGATTCTAGATCTTCCTCAGCCTGAGGGAATTGAAATGTGCATCTTTCCTTTCCTAGGAAAGGAGAAATCCCATTCCTTCCTTCTCTGCCCCAGCAACAGCCTAAACTTGTAGTTGGCTGGGGCCATCCTTCCCTTGTGTTGAATCTATGCTGTTATGCAGTCAAGAAGGAGAACATTTTAGGAGCAGAGTTACCCAGTGATGAAGGCTCTCTGGTGAAAAGGCAGACTAGAATACTTTCAGTTGGAAGGGACTGACAGTGGCCAATCCATTTCAGGACCACTCCAGGGCTGACCAAAAGCATATTGCTAAGGGCATTGTCCAAATGCCTCTTCAGCACTGACAGGCTTGGGGCACTGACCACATCTCTAGGAAGCTTGTTCCAATGTGTGACTACCTTCTCTGTAAAGAACTGTTTCCTAGTGTCCAGTCTAGACGTGGATTTTTCTGTTTGTATTTTTTTGTGTTTTCTTGTTCAGTGACTGACCAGTATAAAATGCTAAAGCAATTCTAGAAAAAATCATGTGTCTTATGCAATTGTTTAGGTTATACAGGCAGTTTTATAAAGCCATCAGTTCCCACATGTAGATACTGCTCTTCCAGATGTGTTTTTGAACGGATCTGATCCTGATTGTGTTGTGTGCTGTGTATCCCTGTGATTTCACATTTGGCTTAAATCCAGTCATCACAGCCTACTGTTGCAAAGAGGGGAGGGCCCTGCCTGCCATACTGGCTGCTCATTCCTGCCTGCTCCAGAATTTGTGATTTTTCTCTTTAATCCAACTTAAACTAATCTTTTATTTATTTAATTTTGAGGTCAGTTAGATGAATGAACTGATCCAACTTACTCTGTTGTCAAGCTGCTCTTACAGCTATTATAAAAGAAGTGGCAGGGAAATGTGTCAGGGGTTGGGGGGTGTGTGTTTTTTGAGAGTCACAGTCAGTTTAAATCTTAGACATGTTTTTAAAATGCCTAACTGATTGCATCCCCTGGGTAAAGCATGGATGCTTTGCCATCTTATTTCTGGATCCCAACAGACCCTATGTGAATATCCTTTTCTCCTGGATTGGGGTATTTTAAGCTGTGCACAAATGAGTAAGTTCAGGCTCCATGGAAGCTGCAGGTGCCCGGCAGGTCCCCTGGTGAGTGTGAGGAATGCCCATGGCTTTCAGGTGTGGGCCTGGTTTAGCATTATCTTGGACTACAAGTGGTTAAATGTTGACTATGTCCCAATATGAGGCTTAGTACAAAAATTTAGTGATTTGAGTGAACCTTATTCCCTCTCATCTCAGAAAATTCTGATGTTTCATTTTTAAAGGATAAAAACTTGATTGTTACAGCACGTATGGCTGCAAGTTAATAAAGAACAGAGCAAATACGTAGAATTTATTAATACTGTTGATAAACAGGAGACTACATCCTTCAGTTTGGATGTGACTACTGAAAGTGTTGTAAGTACATGAAATACACTGAGTTGCATATAATGTAAACAACTGTGCTGCTCACATGTTAAGCATCATCAGTAAGCCTTCTTACCCAGTGTTTACATTTTTACTAAAAAGTATTCTACAGCCATCGGGTAGCTTATATAATCCTCTTGGTTTCAAAGAAATAAAATCTGTTCAACAAATCTTCCCCCATCTGTCTCTTGTAGCACTGCTCTCCCTTATGGCAGGCTTATAGCTCCCTCCAGAGTTCTGTTCTGTGCTAAAATACAGAAAATAAGACCCATGGTAAAAGAATTGTATTTTGTGCTCTGTGTGGCTTTGTGTTTCCCCACCAGGCTGGGCCATACAATTCTTTTGAATTTGCCTGGTTTTTTTTGGTAGCATAATGATTTACTTGTAGAATTTGACGACATTGGGGGATTTACTTACTAGGTTTCTTCATTCTTCTGTGCCCTCTTATGTGCATTCACTGGTTTTCAGAAAGATGAAACAAATGATTGTAAAAGGGAAAAAAGAGCCTCAAGACAGTGTATTCAGATAAAGTATTCAAGGCAATATTCAGATAAAGAATACTGTAATCGTTTGTGTGCATTTATATGTATTTATATTTGTTCACTGAACATGGACAGCAGGAATGAGATACTCAGTTTATGCACATATTCTAAGTGAGCTTAGGGCTGAAGTAAAAAGTACCCTGCATTCCTACAGTGTAATCCTTGGATATAATAAAGTAGGACTAAGCATACACTCTGCTAAATATTTAATTTGCTGCCATTCACATAAAGAATTGATATTTGGCCCAGCTATTAACTAAGATACAAAGAGCACTTCTAGGTCTTGTCTAACTTAAAATTTACGAACTGTTTTTAAGTGATGCTGATCAAAGAATCTCTTCTAGACTATCAACTCTTGAGTAGCGCTCCTTTTGTTTTTATTTGAATAATTGCAAATATGTCAGATATGGAGATATTTTACAGATCTTGTTCAAGACTTTCCAGGTATTCCTGAACTGGTCATTAAGCTGAAAGTTTATCTATATGTGTTTGATGTTTTCGATATTAGCACATGGAAATCTACTGAAATAATAGGGATAAAAGTGTTAATTGTAAAATCAGAACTTGTAAAGAATTTCTCTGTTCTTCTGGACAAGGCCACAAGGCCCCTGTGAAACTTCTTAGCAGTTAACAAAAACTGCTGCTAGCTTTTTTTTTTTTTGGGGGGGGGTGGGGGTGTGTTGTTTTTTGGCATCTACTCCAATGCTTGCCACTCTAAATTTGCAACCCTTTGGGTTTCATACAGAGCCATTGTTTGTCACAATGACCAAAACACATGTGATAGCAGCTTCCAAAGGAGCGTTTTACATCTGGCAGTACCGTGTGGCCAAGAAGCTCACGGCAATGGAAATCAATCAGGTAGCACGGACCAGGAAAGAAGGCAGAGAAAGGTTTGTCTTCACGCTTTGTCATTTTTCTTCCTTTGCTCTGGTGTTATTGATAAAGGTCGACTCTCCCATGCCTAAAATATAAACTCTTCTCATTTTTCTAATCATATTTGTTGACTTGTAGGCTTGTAAGATTAAATACTAGTTTTTCATAACAAATGTGTGTTTGTTATCCAAATCTCCTAGACATTTTTGGATTAGCTCCTGTTCAGTGTCTCCATTTGCTCTCTACATGCTTCTCTTTGGGAGCTGTGTGTCTTCAATGCCTTTTTAACCCTCCCCTGTTTCTCCTCCATGCTCTTGGTTTCCAGGCAGCTATATTCCCTCTGATAACTTTAACTGCTTCTCATGTGTCAGTGCCTGTAAGAACACAGTCTGTCCAGCTGGTTCTTCTCTAAATACACTTGTGTCTGATTGTGGCTTTGACAACTAATCCTGTATGGACTTTTATCCTCTCAAACTAAACAAGCCAAAATCAACATCATTCTGCCTCCAAAATATTTCCTTCCCAGGTGCTCATTTCTAGCATTAAATTTTCTGTCACCTCCACAAGTTTGCAACTTTGTTATGGTTTCCTTTTGTGTTACTTTTTGTGTTCTTCCATAGAGATACTGTAAAATCTTCCTATAAATCTAACATTTCCTGTCACTATCTATCTATAATAATGGTAATTATTTGTACATGGCGTAATAACTTACATTGTTGTAGGACCTGAATGACCTGAATGTTGCCTTGGACAAGATTGTAAATTTGGTAAAATATTGAAAAAAGTAAATAGTTGTAATTCAGCCTTAATGATGACTTTAGCATTCTAAAATCTTTCCCAATGCTACTCTTTAAGGCAAAAGAGAAGTTATGATGAAGTATTGAATAACACAGGAATTACATAAGTTTTGTGGCTGTCAAGGTGAAGCTCTTAAGTATAGAGGAGAACCTGGTGAAATATGGAAGTGCATGTTTGAAGGTGGTTGATGGTTTGCTGCAGAATGAAAATTCTCAGATCATGTGGGAATGGACCATCAGGGGCTGTGAAAGTGAAAGCAATCACCATAGCTTTATATCGATAGAAAGCAGGTTTGTCAGTGGGGATACTATGGGAACATAAGAACAGGCATAGCTTTTATTTTTCCAATTCCAATGGTTTCTTCTCCAAGGATTGGAGATAGCTATGTGCTACCAAAAACGCTCCTCTGTTTGGACTTGTTTTTTCTACAGGATCTATCATATTGATGACACCTCTTCAGGATCTGGAGATGGACGCCTTGATTACAGCAGAGCTATTGAAGTGAGTGATGTTTTTAACTGGTTTATTGTGGTGTCACTGGTAGCTTGAAAGAGCAGTCACTAGCTTTATTTATTTTCATAGATTTTCATTAGTAGAAGTGGTTTTACTTAAAATTTTTTTTCATTCTTACCTTTTTTGCGCATGTTATGTTTCTTCCCTCTGGTTAGTGCTGTTACGGTGTCATTATGTATTACTGGAAATACACAGCAAATTGTAGGGAATGTGGAAAAAGTATAATTGGGGTGAAGTATCTATATGCTGTCTTCGCGGTCAGAAAAAGCTCTTCTTCAACAACATACAGGCTTGTTGAAACTCAATAACCCTTGCAATCTTTTCTAGTATTTTTGGCCATTTTCACTTTATGTGGTGTGTGAGTGCTGGCTGTACCTACAAATATACTTGAAATTAATTAGAGAGCGCACAAGTCAGAGATAGTTGCCTTCCTGTGTTTTCTGTTGAACACCTGTTATATTTTTTGTTTCCTGTTTTTCTGGAGGAGGAGAAGAAATGAAACTGTTAATATTATTGTCAGTATTCCATAACAAAGGCTAGTAATGTCATAAACCCATCCATACACTGTATACTCACAAGGTTTGATATCCCCTTTTCGTGTGGATACTTAGCAACATTCTTTTATATTTAAAAAAATTTTTTTTCGTTTTTTTTTTTTTTTTTTTTTTAGCAGTGTATTCTTACCTTTGCAGTAAAACTGATACTGATATTGCTTGTATACTTTCAGGGAACAAGAGATCCAATTTGTGCAATAACAGCATCTGATAAGATACTACTTGTGGTAAGTTACGTGATTAAAACAACTCCTAATTGCTCCTTGTGCTTGTAAGCATGAGATTCTTCTGCAGAATGTCATAAGCAGTCATAATTTCAAAGCATTTTTGAATTTAGAACTTATACAGACAAACTCTCTTTCTTAACTTCCCCAGAAAGAACTTTAACACTTTCTTCTGTTAACCTGAGTTCTTTCCTTAGGAGGGCTAACTTATGAAACACAATTTAAGACTAGTTGCCTGAGCTGATACTTATACATAGGGTTTGATAAAATCCAGGTTAAGATTTAATTCTGTAGTCTGAGTTCTGGGAAGTCTCTTTTAGCCTCTGTGTTCTAGACACAAAGATTTACAAAGTTTCTCTATTTACATATTAATGGTATAATGTATGGTAGTTTGCTATATCCGTATTAGTAACTAAGTGAGCAGAACAGAGATAGAAAAAGAACACTGTTTCCTCATTTTATCCACATACCAAGAAAGACCTTGGTGTTTTCCCATGTTTCTACTTGAGCTGTTAGTTGTTGTTGTTGTTTGTTATATCCTTTGCTGGATTTTACAAAATCAATGGGTCACGAGAAGAAGCATGAATGAAAAAAGTATGATGGTTAGTTGGTAACTATAGGATTCTGTTTGTGCTTGAAGAATAGGAATGAGAAAATGAAATACAGACAATAATTAATCAGTGTCTTTGGTTAGAAGGAAGAGAATGAGAGGAAATGCCTTTGAGATCCAATCTGAATAAATGTGCTGAAGGTGAACGCATATTGCAGTGGTTGGATTTTTCTAATGCTTCTGACCAAATCTGCTTTTTAGTTTATAGCGCATACAGATGTGAAAAAATCAAAGGTGGTGATTTACACTGAGGATCTTAGGGGTGGCTTTGGGGGCAAAAAAAAAAAGAAAAGAAGGAATGAAGTTTGGACTACCTTAAAGTTTAATGTTGACTCATTTGCAGCATAAGAGTTGAACAGCAGGTAAACAGTAGGTAAACCAAGCTGGATGTGTTGTTCAGTCTACGGAAACACAATGACAAAACAGTGGCAGTGACCATTTCAGTCCAGAGATGTCAAACTCCTTTCAGACTGTTGGCCTGATAGTGTCTTGACACAGGGAATGGGTGTGTCATTCAGCAAAATAAAGATAAACCACATCAGTACTTAGATTTGTTTCCTGTTACTCAAGCCTGTGAATAACCAGTGTATTTTACAGCATTTTCCTTTTAAATGTCCCAGCATGGGACAAGGATCTTTTGATTGTTCTTTTTTGTTATGTAGACCATGTCTGGAAGTTCACAGGGTCTGTTCTGTGGGCTGTACGTGGACTAGAGCTGTTTGTTTTAACATCACTGATTTAAGCAGATCTGTCAATTGTAGCATCTTGTTTAAATAGCAGAATTCAGAACTTTCAGGGTGATAATATTCCCCCTTTCCACTTGTGCTCTGTCACTTATCCAAAAGCTCTTTTGTCTAAGACAGCATATAAATAAAACCATTTAAAAGAGTATACTGATGGAAAAATTCTCTTGCTAAGCCAGGATCACTTTTCCCTAGGGAAGAGAGTCCGGCACTATTCAGAGATACAGTCTCCCTAGTGTGGCTGTAGTGCAGACCTATATCCTGAACTGTCGTGCTTATCAGCTGTCTTTGAACTGCAACTCCAGGTAAGTTACAGATCTGCTTCTAACACAGCCATCCAATTCCAAAACAAAGCCCTAAAATTTGTGAAAATAATAATTCTATGAAATATATAATTCTATAATAATTATGTACTAATTTTAATTTAATATAAACTATTAATTTTATTTGTTATTAATGGTTGCTTAACTGTTTCTTTATTACTAATTATGGACAGTCATCAGAGACTGCTCTTAGTAAAGCTCTCCTATGCTTTACACCCTGTATACATGAAAATATCTTTATTTGATGAACCAAGCATAACCTTCCTGTGATCATGAAAGGACAAAATTATATTATAACCTGAAACTTTATATCCCCAAGACTTCTTTATATGTCCCTGTCCTTCTAATGTCTGGAAAGTGTGTTCATCCCATATTAATTTTCCATTGTTACAAGCTGTAACTGGTGGCAATGCTTCTAGTGAGTCGGGATTCTACTGAATGGCCACTGGCTTTCTAGTTCCCAGCTATTTTTATGCAAATAAGCACACAAGAGTCTTGGCAGAAAAGGCAAAAATATACTGCCTAAAGAGAACTTGCAAGGCAATTTTAATCACTTCAAAATATCTTTATAATTTCAAACAAAATTCCTATTGCTTGTGTGGATCTCTTGCCTCTTTAGGTATAGCCCAAAAATAGATTGCTTCACTCAAAAGGCAGTGTGATCAAGTCAGAGCCACATTCCTTTTGTTCTGAACCAAAGCTATTTCTTTCCTAAAAGACTTTGTGCTTGGGAAAAACGCTCAGATCCATAAGCATTTTAAAGTTAATTTTCTAAATTGCTTTTGAAATTTTAATAGTGATTTAGGGTGTCTACCATTCATTATTTAGAAATACTTCTAAAACAGCCTTGTCGTAAATACAGGCTACTAGGATTCCCTGAAGACCTATGTAACTGGAAATTTTCAAATGTAACATTTTAGAAATTGTATTTTTCCCCTATTTTAAATTACTTTAAAGATTAATTGGATTATACTTTTTTAACCTTGAAAAAACCTAAAGAATACCCTTTGTAGAAGGGTAAGGAATCCTGTTTTAGGAATTAAGAGTTTACATCACCACACTGACTTTTTAATTTAATAATGTGCTTCGTTGCCTCCTAGTAAATAAGTAAAACAAGTTCTGTTCAGTTGTTAATTTTAGTCTTTGTCAAGAAAAGTTTGGCGAGGGGCAGAACCTGTGATTTACTCAACTTGATATCTAATGTACTAAGGGTCTTCAAAATGCTGGATGAAAAAATGGGCATATTTCAGAGCCTTTGCAGGGCCAGATCCTGTGAGCAGATGTTTCCATGTCTCTGGTCTCCGCTGTGCAGATAAATGAAAATCATATGCATCTGTGCTGGTTTTGGCACACGATGGCCTCTCATGGAATCTATAGAATTATACGGTGCCAGTTTTGAGAGCTATTTCAGATATCCAGCCTTGAATAGTGGGTTTTTTTTTTAGCTGTCTTGTTTTTTTATTCCTTTGTTTGTCTGTAGTCGTCTCGCTATCATAGACCTTTCTGGTGTTCTGACCTTCTTTGACCTGGACGTGCGGGCAATAGACAGCACAGGACAGCAGGTGATAGGGGAGCAGCTGAAACTGGAACGCAAAGATGTCTGGGACATGAAATGGGCCAAAGATAACCCAGATTTGTTTGCAATGATGGAGAAAACAAGAATGTATGTTTTCAGAAACTTGGATCCAGAGGTACATGTTAACATGAGTAAACTGTTCATTTTACAAGTTTGCTCACAAGTTAATGGCGCTTTCTTGAATAGCACTATTCTTGTGCTCACCGTTCAGTTAGACGAGTGTTTATATAAACTTGCATCTGGAAGTCTCAAAATCTTCCCAACTCTCATGTGGGAATGTTGTTTTGGAACAAATAACTAAAATGAACCATCAGTCCTGGAAACATAAAAATGCTGTCATATTTTTATGAAATGTGTGACATATTTTCAGGAGCATATTGTCTTTGTATGCTTTGGGAGACAAATACAATTTTAGTAGAGATACTTGTAAAACACAGTTGAGTTTACTCTAAATAATAGGTGTTTGTCTCGCTCATAATTTAATTACAGAAAACATGAGGGTTTTTTATGATGTTTGTGTTTATAAAATTGTCAATAATGTTAATGACTTTAGTAGTTGTTTCTTGCTGGAAATACAATTAAATCCTAGTTTGGAGATGAATGTATTTATATGTACACTTAACAGATTTGATTAGGATTTAATCAGACAGAATACAAGTTCATTCCTTTGTAACTTATTTAACTTTAAGGAACCTATACAAACATCTGGATATATTTGCAACTTTGAAGATTTAGAAATCAAATCTGTTCTTCTGGATGAAATATTAAAGGTAAGTGTAATTAATTTTATTTTGTAAGAAAAGTTGGTGTCTGTCTTAATGATTTGAACAGTATATATCTATGTTGGGTGAAAACAAAGGACCCATGGAATAAAAATATGTTTCTTTATCCATTATGTTAGAATCCTGAACACCCTAACAAAGATTACATCATCAATTTCGAGATCCGGTCATTACGAGACAGTCGAGCATTGATTGAAAAAGTTGGCATTGAAGAATCTTCCCAATTCATAGAAGACAATCCACATCCCAGACTTTGGTAAAATCGCTTATAAGCCAACTTGGTTTAAATTTATGCTCTTTTGTACTCTTTTACTATTCAGACAGATCTAGCATGAAATTACAGAACCTCAAATTAAAACCAGGTAAGCAGTATGCACTAAGACTTTATGAATGTTGGAGTACCTGGAATGGCAGGCATGTGGTGTGTGTCATGGCAGTGGGTGTAGGGTACAGGTTCTATGCTGTATGAGCCCCTAAATGCAGCGCTCCCTGCTTTTAGGGATAAATTTAAAGGAAATAAAAAAGCTGGCAGAAAGCTAACTGACAGTTGGTTAAATTAAAAATTAAATTTATATATTTGCTATTGAACCTTGATGATTGAGGTCATCAAGTGCTTAAAACCCAGTAAAGGTTTTAACGATCATCAGAATGATAACAAGGTAAGAGTTGTTTGACTAACCTTGTAGCATTTTGGACAGGCCATAAAGGGCAGAAGTGAGAAGGGCTGGGTATGTTAATCATGTTATGCTGCAGCATCTCAGACATAATCTGAGAGCTGGAGATGCTTAAACTAAACATGGATTTAGCTATTATAGTTGAAAAGCCTGCATAACAAACATATAAGAATAAACCTGTGAAAACAGGAGTTCTGGAAATGCCTCAGTAAGTAATTTAATGAAAAGTGAGTAGCAGAACCTAAAACTTCATTGACAAGTTTCTTGGTGAATGATGCAAATTCTCTAACTCTGTGGAGATTGTTTCTTTGTCCGTACCTGTCTTTAGTAATTTTTTTTCATTGTTTTGAAGCTAACTGATTGGATGTTTGGCTGTTAATTCTTAACAGTTCAGAGGAAAATTTAACGTTGCTGAAAGACTGGCCAAGACAGCTTGCTTTAAGTTTGTCCCTCAAAGAATTTCTTCCTATCTATTGTGGTTTTGTCTCCAGAAGGTTAATTCTGAAAAAAAGGATTTGCTAGCTACGTATTGAAAGTTTCTGTAATAATACTGTAGTTTTATTAGCTTGAGTGTCAGTTTTGTGAATCTTCATTTTTACTAATTTCTTGAGCTAGCTGAAGATTTTTGGAGCTTTGAAGTCATCCATGCTTTTTGCTATTATTTTTGAAAATCTGTGTCTCAGTAAAAGTTTTATACTGTAAAATCACAAAATACACATCAAATTCTGTTCCAAAATTGCCATGAACTTTATTTTTATTATGCAAGAAACCACATGTCACATATTTATAAAGAAAAGATGGATTAGAAGTACTGGATATAAAGTGAATAAATTCCAGATCAGAACAGGACAGTGCCCTTAATTCTAGAATGCAACAAACAGGATGATGTGTTTAGCAGATGGATTAAATTTGCCATACTGTTCTTCTCTTGATTTCTATGATGTCAGTGATGAGCACTTGAGTTGAATTGATACCAACCTTGTCAATTGGTTCCAAAATACGGAGTAGGTACTGCCTAAGCACGGCTTAGGTCACTGAATACAGCAGCAATATTATTGTTTTTGTCAGTGCCCTCCTGTGCTGACTTTGTTTCAGTGTCAATCAGCCAGGCTAAATTTAACTAGCCTGATTTTTCCAGAGAATTCTAGGGCTTATTCAAGCACCTGATTGGTGTAGGTTGGCCTGCAGGTAGAAGTTCACTATTTGCAGAACTAACCAACGGGGCAGTACCAGTACAAGGTTTCCCAAAGTTCCCTGCTCTCCCAAACTGCCATCCTAACAGGACAAGGAACATCCAGATGGATCAGAAGGATAATTTATTTGTCATGGCCAATGTACTTGGAGGCTTTTAGACTGAGGCTGCCATCAAGGATAAAGCAATGACAAATGCATAGGTAGAATTATCTAATGCGTTGAGACCAGCAACCCATTTCATGTAAGACAAAGGTAACACTCAAATCCTGCCCATTCCTCCCAAGCCAGTGTCCCTTTGAACAGCTGAAAAAAAGAACATTAGCAATGGCTTGAACATCTTTCCCTGAGAAGGTACTGGACATGTCACAGGAACAGTTACACAACTGTATTAAGATTAGCTAGTAAACAATACCTTGCAATAACTTAAATGTCTTCTTTAAATAATTAGTAGTTAAATGGATCCTCATTTAATTTACTGTCTAGCTGCTTTTCCATCTGTTGTGTTTGTTTTTCATGCAGGCGTCTCCTGGCTGAAGCTGCTCTTCAGAAGCTGGATCTGCAGATGGCTGAACAAGCTTTTGTGCGTTGCAAAGATTATCAAGGTATTAAATTTGTGAAGTGTCTGGGCAACCTGCAGAGTGAGTCCATGAAGCAAGCAGAAGTGGCAGCCTATTTTAGCAGATTTGAAGAAGCTGAAAGAATGTATCTGGATATGGACAGAAGGTAATTGCATGGAATCATCTCAGCAGCAAATAAAGAAAAAAAGTCTGAAAAAAACCCAAACATGCCTAAATCAGGAATGGCTGTTTTAGCCCTGAAGAGTCTTTACCAGTTTCTGCAAAAAGACATTAAAGGATCAAGTGGAGATATTTTTTTTTGTATCCATAGTTAACCAGTTCTATATGTAAATCAGCGCATTCCAAACTGGTTGCAAAACCTCCGCTGTTCTAGGTAGTGCTGTGTTTTATAGATTTTTTTTTCACAAGTATTTTGTCAGTATTTCAGCTGGGATTCCAAAACTACAAACAATCTTAACTAATGTTTAATTTATGTGCTGTTGGTCTTAGCTAGTAGCCAAGTACACATTCTTCCCAATTACATATACAAACAACAGAGTTTTTAATGAACTGTAATCTCTGGAGAGACAGAAAGGACTCTGGATGAAACTGTGGACCAATCAATGGAATTTTTTCTCAGGAATGAAAACAAACAGCAAAATTACAGTATTGCTGGGAATATAAATTGACACTAAGCAATTAGCTAGAGCACTGTCTCTGCTGAAAAAGGGTAATGATAAATCATCAGCAGCAGTTGTACAGTGTAGCCTGTAGATGGTGGTCAAACATGGAGAAACATGAATCACTTATGCACACGTGAAATTTTTAAGCTTTGATTAATGGAGCCATGAAAAACAGCAGGGAATGATGGAGAAAAACATTAGTTATTCTTTCATGCTGTAAGAATGAGAAACCTTCCTCTTTCCCAGTAAGGGGGACAGGATGGTGGGGGTCAGAGGGAGAAGGCAGGAGCTGGGGAGAGATGCCCAGTAGAGCCTGGTAATGGAAAACTTTCTTGCCTATGGTTAATTATGTGACGGCAGTATATTGCTTTGGGGAGGTGGACTGCCTTCTGAGCACTTAAGTCATGCTGCAACACCGATTTTTAAATATGGCTTATTCCTTTTCACATGGCTGAAGAGAAATATGGACATTATAGGATTGCAGAAGTCAAAAACTTACTTTCTTTTAACTGGTTTCTTCAACAGTAGAGCATCTTATTCTCCAGCTGTGAGAATACGGGAATTCTGTATTGACATTATGTGTCTCCTCACCACTAGAAAAATCCTGAGAAAGATCTACCATAAATCAGGATGAAATAAATCTATTTTTCAAATACAATTTTGATGGTTTTAGATAGATGGTCTTATTTAGCTGACTGCACTGACTTGCTATTGCCTTCCTTCATTTGTAAGCTGAGGGCATTTTTACAAGACGTGTATAGGTCTCTCCCATTTATTTGCTATGCACCTGCAGAATTACTTTTATATGAAGTAATATAGAATTATTCTTCTTGATGGAAAAACATGCCAGACAGGCACACAATGAGTCATATGTATGCATGAATAATAAAAATAATAAAAAGGAAAAAGCTACATCTGAATCCTTTCTCCTTTAGCTAAAGTCACTCTGAATCTGAAAGAGAAGTCTCTGAAATCCACATTATTTCATATCAGCTTTAGCCTCCATTATTCATATTCCTCACTCCTTGGCCTTTACCCTCATCTTCCTCCTGCCTTTAGCCTTTTGCAGCCGCTGCCATCTCTCGTGGTTGTCAGCATGAAAGATACAGAACAGAGTAAGAGGGAACCTGAAGTAACATCAGCCCAAGTGTCTCACCAGCTGCTCATTTAACTCCTCACAGGAGTGTGTCTAATAAGGAGGTGCATAGGTCTGAAATAACCTGTGAGCTCTCTGAGTATTTGCTTTCATGGAATAGTGTTTAAAATCAAAACAAGATCTCTGGGCGGGATCACTGTGGTACCTGTAGTGCTGGTTAAGAACATAAAAATACTGTTGGATGCTTTTCTCAGGATTTTTGTTACCTGTTTTACTGTCTTTGACTTTTCCCTGCTATTTTTGGTTTATACCAGAGATCTTGCCATTGGTCTCCGGATCAAACTGGGAGATTGGTTTCGGGTATTGCAGCTACTGAGATCTGGCTCAGGGGACTCGGATGACGCCCTCCTGGAACAGGCACACAATGCTATTGGAGACTACTTCGCAGACCGTCAGAAGTGGTATGTTCTGTAGATGAACTAGTAAGAAGGAAATTACAAAGAAAATTACTAAACTGATGACAAGACTTAATTTATGAGGAGGGACAGACATCAGGATGCAGTACATGGGATAATTTTGGAATGCTGAGGTTTAGCTCAGACCTTTATGGTTCCATGATAAGATAAATAGAGAGCTGTTGATCAGCTGTCTAAAGAATGAAGGTGATAAAAATCTACATTTTGCCAGAAGTCTCTGTTTCAAAGGATGGGAGGGAAAGAGAAATACCTCTACAGTTGTATTAGGTTGGATATAGAAAGTATTAAAGAAAAAAAAGTAGTTAAAGGTAGGAGAGAATTATTAAACATCAGTGAATTTTTTAGAGTGCTTCAACCCACAAATATTTGAAAAGGTCCAGAGTTCTTAATGACCTGGATCTGTCTCCAGCTATTGCCCAAACTGGGCACCCAATGAAGATTTTAAGGACAGTGGACACCCGTAATAGTACTTCTGCGGAACACATTTTGCAGTCAGGTACTTAGTGAGCCAGAGGTAATGCCTTCTTAGTTAATAACTTGCCTAGAATTTTTTTCATGCACTTTTCTTGTTGCCTTCTAACTCTGTCTCAGAGTTCCACAGCTCCACTGTGTATTGTGATTACCTGAATTGTATCATCGCAAAGAACTTGTATCCCAAAGCAGTTGAAAACTTGTAATTAGATTTTGAAAGTTGATTTTTAGATGTTTTAGGTAACTTTGTAGAATGGTCTTAGAGGTCTCAGTTCTTGCATTTTAAAACACAGAGGCACAACGCTAAAGCCCCTTTCGGAAGGTTTAGTTTTAAGTTGTCCATTACCTTCTATGATCTATAGTTTTAAGATTCCTTGACTTTCTAACCTTATGCTAGTCAGGGGCTACTTGAACATAATGATCTCTGAAAATTAAAACTTGCAGTACTTTTTAGAAAAACAGTGAAATTCTAGCTACAAAAGTTTTTCCAAGGAAAGCTACATGTTAAAAGTAATGTGATTTTAAATTTCAAAATGCAAAAGGCTTACAGAATTAAAAACTTCACTTGTGCTTATATATCAGAAGCCACCACATCTTTTTTGTCCTATTAGGTTAAATGCTGTACAGTATTACATTCAAGGACGAAATCAGGAACGTTTAGCTGAATGTTACTACATGCTAGAGGACTACCAAGGACTGGAGAATCTGGCCAACTCACTTCCAGAGAATCATAAATTGCTCCCTGTAAGCAAAAAGCACCTTTATTTTTCATTGTCTTATTTATACCCAACTATTTATTTAAAACATCACGTCTTGGGAGGGTTAAGGAAGAGAGAAGGAATGCAGCCTATGACCTACTCACTTAAGCATACCGGTGTTACTGTGGTATTGTTCTCCAATATTGCTGTTGTTTTCATACTCCATTACTATTCCTTTCCCTTATTGTCTCAGTTCCCTAGAAAGGCCCAATTGTTCATCATGTTTTACTGCCACATGGGCAGTTTCTCTCCCCAGACTGTGCCATTTCTCTCTGAAATAGCTGTGCTTCACTGAGAAGTCACTCATGGATGGTCACTTACTTTACCTTTCATTCTGTCATCTGGTCTACACTGTTGTTTTTTTTTTTTTTCCCCCTAAACCCTTCCTAGTTGCTATCCTTAACTTCTTACATGATAACTCTGGTGGGAATACTAATGTACAATGAAAATTGAAGATATCTCAAAGGAGGAAAAGTAGGTGGGATAGGATGTATAGGGTATAACTGTTCTATGTATAGCAGGATATGACCTACTATGTAATAGCTCATTTAAAACTATGCTATCGTTGATTAATTCAAAATGATTGAAAAATGCAAAACATGCTCCTTTTAATTCCATTTTCAGTAAAGCAAGACCTAGCACTTTCTTTTTTAACCTCACTGTAGTTGCGAAGTTTCATAAAATACTTTAAACATTAAGAATACAATCCCTTTGGTATGACTTGATTTGAAAGAAAAATTTTAAAATAGCTTTTTTGAATTTAGAAGGAGTGTGTGAAAAACACTCACTGTTCTAAATATTTGCAACAGTGCATGATGCCTTCACAGGATCAATGAAGTGAACAACCCCTTCCCCAGACTCTCAAAATTAAATTAAACAATTTAAGTACACAATGTACTAAAAATGTGGAAGTGAATTTAACATGGTGCTGATGATTTTTGCAGGATATAGCTTATATGTTTGTACGAGTGGGGATGTGTGAACAAGCTGTGTCAGCCTTTCTGAAATGTAATCAACCAAAGGATGCAGTGGATACCTGTGTACACCTCAACCAGGTAAAACAGCAGGAGATCATCTGCTTTACCAGTACCAGTTTAACTGTGAGATTTCTGTCCTAGAGCCCAGTTAAACACAAGTCCTTGTAAAGAGTCTGATTTGTCACATTTTCTGGAAGACTTACACTTCAGGGTTAAGCCAGTTCTCCGAAATTAAGATTAGGCCACTGGAGGGACAGTGGAAAGGCACATGCAGGGTGTGTGCTCAGCGTGCTCAGCATACAGACATTTGTAGCCTTTCTGGAGCTGGGCCATACTGTCTCTTGATGGAATGGGAGGAAGGCTGGAGAAGAGATAGGTGTCTGTTCAGGATGTTTTCTACATCCCCCTCCTTTGTGTAGATGCAGATGGATTTGTGACTGAGTGAGGATGTAGCTGGAAAAAGCTGAACTGAAAATTGATCTGTATGTTTACATCTAGAGCTGTTTCCTGGTATGACTTAGCTGTGCAAACGTTTATGTTGACACAAATAAAAGAAAAACTGAGGATGGCTATGAGGAACTTGATGTATGGGAATGGCAGGACTGGCTAGGGCTGGCTTTATATCAACAATGTCTTAGTTTATGGATCTGAAGACCTATTAGGTGTGAGATTCAGCTAAGACTCTCAGTCCTGCCAAACTTTTAATCTGAGACAAACACAGTAGCCAAACTGTTGAAGATCAGGAAAATTCACAGACAAAATGAGGTGTATAGAAGGATAAGTAAAGTGTTACTGTGTGCTTTAAGCTTCTGGGCTGAAGTCCTCTTTTAGGCATGCTTTTGAGAGTCTGGCTTTAGTAATATCAGAAGTGTTGAAATCCATGTGTCCAGCTATGAGCTGCATTGAAATGATTTTGCAAAGCTTTTACCAAAGCAGAAGCAACTGTTTTGTATGTGGTTTTGGACAGAAGTCCAGCATTTGTTTCACAGGCCTGCTGCATCACATGATTGGCAATGATGTTAGCATTTGTATTCTCTTGCTTTTTATGTTAATTTTATAGTAGTCTGGTTCTAAATGGCGATGAAGTATTGCACACAAATGTAGCAGTCTGTTCATGGCTAACTGGCTTGTTCTGAGAATGTATTTGAAAAAATTAGGTTAATAATTGTCTCCTTTTATTTCTAGTGGAATAAAGCTGTGGAGCTGGCTAAAAACCACAATATGAAAGAGATTGGATCCTTGTTAGCCAGATATGCAAGTCATTTGCTGGAAAAGAATAAAATCCTTGATGCTATAGAGCTGTATCGTAAAGCCAGTTATTTCTTTGAAGCTGCTAAGCTCATGTTCAAGGTATCATAGGTTTTATTTTTGTGTCAAGTAACTGGTTTTTTTGCACTAGCTCTTACTACTTCCACGCTGCTTTTATTCTCTTGGGGTTATTTTAGTTTTAACAATGTCTGTGCTATGAGCAGATGCCATTATACAGGATACTGCAAATATGAATCCAACTCCCAGAGTCCAAGTGTCTCTGTAATAGTTACCCTTGATGTCCTCTGTAGCCAATGGAGACGATACTTTTGGGACATCATCTATTTTATTTTGAGTCTTTCACTTCAGTATGAGATGAACTGCACCTCAGAAAAGGTCCTGTTGCTCTGCATTGCCTAGTAAAGAAGTATGGTAGACTGGCCAGGGCTGCCATGTCCACACTATTTTATGTGTTATGTGAGTTAGTTTTATCTCCTTTTTTAAAAAAATAGCAATGTCAATAACTTTAAGACATTAAATTTTGTTATTTCTTCAATTAGTGCCTTCAATTAGAAATGGCTGTGGTGGGCTTTAAGTTGCTTAGATTTGGATTGGCTGCAGAGATTTCTGTACATAACTTGAAGTCTGTAAGAGTGATGTGTAATTTTTACAGCAAATATTTATAGCACTGTATATATATATATGTTACTTTCAAAAGCCATTCTTCTTTCCTGGGAAAACCACCAGACCTTATTGAAAGCTAGGTATGTGTTTAAAAATTGCTATTTTTTAGTTTATTTTTATACTAAGTCAATAGACTTATACATGGTTACACTGATTTATCCTTCCTGAGAATCTGGCTTTATATACATGTTAGCTAAATAAATATAGAATAATGTGCATACTTCACTTTGACATTTTCATTTATAGTTATGTTTGCAGTCTAAATTATTACATTTAAAGGCAGAATCATTTTTTGGCGTGATTTCATAGGTTTGAACAAGCATGCAATTGTCCAAGAGATTTAAATCCCTTTGTTTTGTTTTTTTAAGATTGCAGATGAAGAGTCGAAGAAAAGGACAAAACCTTTGCGAGTTAAAAAGCTTTATGTGTTATCAGCCTTACTTATGGAACAGTGCCATGAACAAATGCAAAATGCACAAAGGGGAAAAGTCAAAGAGAAAAGTTCAGAGGTAGTGTCTTTTTTCCTTTCTGAATTCTGGTATGTGCTACCTAGAATAAAGCATAAATAACTTTATGGGAGGCTATAATGTTTTTCTAATAACCCTTTTTCCTGCTTAGAACAAAGCTTTCCTTAAAACAAGTCTTACATGAAGACCTATTGTTTTAAGTATTATTTTAAAACATTTAAATCATATATATGAATAGATATTTTTCTTCCCAAGTTTAATGTATTTTTCTTAGTATTTGCACTGTAACAATGAAAACCCTACTAAGAAACTCTGGAATTTTTTTTTTTCCTGCAAGACTGGGTCACTTCCATGTCATTTAGTAGTAAGTATCTATCCCAAAGAGTGATCTCTGATTAGATTAAGTTATCTTTCCTATAACTTAGCAGGGAGATGGCTCCAGATATGAGGGAGACGAATGGAAGCATTTTTTTTTTCTGCTCACACATTCAACTTCATATGCCCAAATGAAATCGTTTAGACAAAGTTTTAAGAGCTCTGGTGTTGAAATGCAGTATTAATCCAAAGTATGAACCGGTCTGCAGATGTGCACAAAATATATTTGTACACACGTATACAATATTTATCTTTGAAAATCTGCACCATATGTTGTGCCTGGGCTCTGTATAAAACGCCTGACAATGTTCACTTTAGGTCCATTTATATTTCCCCTAGTTAACACAGACAGCGGTGTAATCACCAAGTATAGAAAAGTTCTTTTCATGTATCCCCATTTCCTGCTGTATCTGTTTCATATAAAAATTACTTGTGATACTGCTTTGTTTTCAGAGTGCTTCAGCTTTGGCTGGTTTGCTGGAAGAAGATGTTCTTTCTTCAACTAATCGCTTTGCAGACAATGCTTGGCGAGGAGCTGAGGCTTACCATTTTTTCATACTTGCACAAAAACAGCTCTATAAAGGGTCTGTAGATGCAGCACTTAAAACAGGTAGGACTTCATTTTTAACCCAGTAAAGAAATTCAAGAAACTGTTCCAATTGCACAGCACCTGCACAGCACATAATTTCATTTATAGTTGGTGCTTTTTTCTGTTCTTAATAGATCCATGGAATTTAAACCAAAACCATAAAATGAATTGAATATGGTTGCAGTCAATATGGGTGGAAAGGACTTTCCTGAAGACAATGCAAATCTAACTTTCCAAATATTACCTGGCTAAATTGGTGAATTTCTGTAGCTATTCTGTTGACTGTTTTGTTTCTTTCCTTAAATTCTAAGGCATACCTGAATTCACATCGGACCTCCAGTAGAGCTTCATAAAAAATCTGTGGCAGTTAAGAGAAGCAAGTAGTGCTTTATACTTTGTCCAAGTAACGAAGATCTATTTCAAATCCTTCTAACATCTTTAAAACAAAACAACCAAACAAAATGAAGTGTTTCAAGAAGACATTTCAGTTTCCCAGTCAAATCCCCTTAATTTTATTTATTTTTAAAAAGCAATGTTTCATAGTCATGTCAGTGAAAAGACTTCCACTTTGTGCAATTTGTAGGATTAATACTATGTCTTAGTAGCAAATATTTCATACAGATGCTTGCAGTTCTCAGAAGATGTGTAATAATTTCCTTGGATTTCTTTTTTTCTTCTTTTTTAGCTCTTCATTTGAGAGATTATGAAGACATTATCCCTGCAGTTGAAATCTATTCCCTTTTGGCACTCTGTGCATGTGCAAACAGAGCATTTGACACTTGCTCAAAAGCATTTGTTAAACTAGAATCCTTGGAAACTCTTAGGCCAGAGCAGAGGCAACAGTATGAAGATCTTGCTCTAGAGATATTCACAAGATACAGTCCAAAGTATAACAAAAAGTCTGATCTGGATGATGTTCTTGAGAGGTGGGTTTATTTTTTTGTGACACTGTAATAATATAATTTTTTTTCTGATGTTGGTCTATATTTTAGATTTTAGCAGGTTTTGTGTGTGACTAAATTAATTGCTTTGCTGTTTAAACCAAATATTGGGCAAGAATGATGCAGCTGTCAGCCAGTTTGCAGAAAGGGTAATACAGCACTGTGTTGTTTGGGAAAATAGACAATTACTGTGTTCAGGAACTGGGCATAAAGATGTAACATCACCTTAATTTGAAATGCAGGTGGACAGAGCACAGGACCTTTGATACTGTGTCACATGACATCTAAGTAATAATGCTGCTGTTTGCATCACCAGTGTGGTGTGATGCAAATATCCACAAGTGAATGTTTAACCGTTATTAACTAATAAGTCTCCAGTGTTTTGTGAATTACCTAAATCTACACGATGTGAGAAGGTGAATATGTCAAGTGAAAAAAACAGAGTAAGAAGGGCACACTTAAGGGGTAAGTCCTTGGACTGGCTATACCCACAACAGTGTCTCTGATATGTTTCCTGCTAACAGCATGGGATTTGTGAGTATGGAAATTGACTGTGAGTCAATTTTCTTTTAGAAAATAGGATTTTAACATGTCTTGTGTGATCCTACTGTGCAGCTGTACAGAATCTCATTCGCAGCTGTCAGGTTGACTCATCAGAGGAAGGAGCATAATAATAGTGCAGGTGTCTAATCTGACCTTACCTTTATAAGACCTTTCCTACTTCTTTTCATTCCATCTTTTGGATCTGCTGGTCCTGATTTGACTGTATGGTTCTAGGGGTGGGCATTCTCTGGTGTGAAGATTTACATATTTGGCTGTGTGAACAGTGAAGTGTTATGTGATTTAATAACTTGCAGTTAACAGGTGGCACACCATGTTTTTATTCTTTCAGCTTTATTTACTCTTCTTCTCTTTTTTTTTTTTTTTTTTTTTTTTTTTTCTTATAGTGGAGATGAGAAACTTCCTATATGTGTTGCAACAGGAGACTCTATCCTGGAGTATCGATTCTGGATGTGTGTTGTATGTAAGCATTGTATGAAAGCCAGTGAAGCAGACAATTATAAGTTCTGTCCTCTGTGCCACAGCACAGTATAGCTGAGGATAAAGGCCCACATATCCTCATTTATGACTCCTAAAAATAGCCTTCAAAATGTTACCAATGTACTATATTTTAAAATACAACTCAGGTACTGTATTGTAGCAGTGCTGCTAATAGAGAAACATTAAAAAAAATAAAACAGAAAACCCACAAGAGAAACCTCTACTGGTTCCATTTATGTGAATCATCCACGTTAATAAACTTCATTTTTGTTACACTTTTAAAAAAGATTTAAGGTAAAAGCATTCTTTTCTAATTGTAGGTTGAGCCTAGTTTTCAAACTGTGAGTTGAATGCAGGTTCATATTAGTATCTTTTACTCTGAGCAGGCTCCATTTTTTTGTCTCTATAATTCCATAGGAAATTACGGGTTTTTCTCAGAATTCACAATTTTGTGAAGGAAGTAATTCCTGAGTTGAAATAATGCCACAATACTTCTGATAATATTATTGTATATATTTTTGTACTACTGTTTTCCTAAAGCAATGATACCAGTATAGACATGTTTGTGCTGGTTTCTTTTGCCAAGTGTATTTAAACCCACCATAGCAATAAAGGGCTTGAAAACACTCAGCAGTCAGTGCTGTCCGTCTGTATCAGGTTCCTGAGCTTGGCTGATGTGATCTTCAGCAAGTAAAGGAAACCTTCATGAACTTTCAAACTGGAATCTGGCAATTTTTTTCAAGTAGCTTGAGAGAGCAGCCGACTTCTGTTGAACAGATTTCAGGACCTGAACAGTCACCCTTGTTGCACAAAAAGGTCTAAGGGGCAATGTCTTACTTAGAACTGCACTCTTCTACCTTCTTGCTGGATTTGATCCTCTGCTCTGGAAGTGCTGCAGGTCCCTGCTGCAAAGGTGAGCTTTCCCCAGGACCAGCCACCATTTGGCTGCCGGGCAAGAGCCATGAGCTGCAACATTCATGATGTGCATTGGCACATTTCTGAGAGGAGAGCGTGACAACTCTTCTGCACTGTCTGTCAGGGCAAGTCATGTCTCTCACCTAAACTTAGGCCAGGAAAGGATAAAACCCCTTTTCATAGTGCTGTAGAACAGTTTATGTTGGAAGGACCTTAAAGATCATCTCCTTCCCAACCCTTTGTCATGGGCAGGGACACCTTCCACTAGAGCAGGGTGCTCAGAGTCCCACCCAACCTGGCCTTGAGCAGTTCCAGTGATGGGGCAGGCACAGCTTCTCTGAGAAACCTGTTCAGTGCTTCAGCACCCTCCCAGTAAACAATTTCTTCCTTATGCCTAATCTAGACCTACCCTCTTTCAGATTAAAGCCATTCCGCTTTGTCCTGTCACTCTATGTCCTTGTAAAAGTCCCTCTCCGGTTCTCTGGTAGCCCCATTAGGTACTGGAAGGTGCTACAAGGGCTCCCTGGCGCCTTCTGTTCTCGAGGCTGAACAGCCCTAGCTCTCTCAGCCTGTCTCCATAGGAGGGGTGATCCAGCCCTGCAGGCTCCTCTGGATCCGCTCCAACAGATCCACGTCCTTCCTTTGCTGGGGGCCCCGGAGCCGGACACAGCCCTGCAGGTGGGGTCTCGCAAGAGTGGAGTAGAGGGGCAGAATCACCTCCCCGGACCTGCTGGCCACAGCTCTTCGAAGCAGCCCAGGATGCATTTTGTATAGAAAACACTGAAATACTGTATTTTGTACGTATGTGCGTGCGCCCTGGTATTTGAGCTTCCTCTTCCACCCGAGCACCAGCGGTGCCCGCGGGGGTAGCGCCCTCCGCCCGCCCTCGCCGGCTCCGCTTCCGTCACGTCACGGGGATGGCGCAGGAGGCGGCGGAGCTGCTGTCGGCGGCGCAGGCCGAGCTGGCGGCCCGGCGGCTCTCGGCGGCCGAGGAGCTCTACAACCGCTTCATCGCCCTGAGCCCCGCGGGGTAGGGCTGGGGCCGGGGCCGGGGCCGGGGCCGGGGCCGGGGCGGCGGGCGGGCCCCCCCCCGTAACGCCGCTCACTCTGTGCCCGCAGCGCCCGCCGCGACCTCGCCACGGCCCTCAACGACCGCGGGCAGGTGCGGTACCTGCAAGTGGAGTTCGCCGCCGCCCTGCAGGATTACACGGCCGCCATCGAGTGCCAGCCCGGCTTCGAGGTGCCCTACTACAACCGGGGGCTGGTGCGCTACCGGCTGGGTACGACCCGGGGCAGGGCAGGGCAGGGCAGGGCAGGGCAGGGCGGCCCGGGCGCAACCGCCGTGCCCCAGGCGGGGGCACCTGCCTGGCACGGGGGCCGAGGGCGGGTGTCACAGCAGAACCAGGCGGGGACACGCTTGGTGTCACAGCAGAGCCAGGCTTGGTCAGCAGTGACAGCACGTTCGGCTGCGAGCCTGCCCCGAGTGTGCAGAGACCTCCCCGGAGTCTACAACTGCCTCGTTAGAGGAAGAGGAGGGACAGAACTGGTCTCTTCTCTGTGGTGACCAGTGACAGAACACGAGGGAATGGCCTGAAGTTGTGTCAGGGAAGGTTTGGTTTAGATATTAGAAAAAGGTTCTTCACCCAGAGGGTGGTTGGGCACTGGTACAGGCTCCCCATGGCAATGCTCACAGCACCAAGCCTGCCAGAGTTCAAGGAGCATTTGGAGAATACTCTCAGGCACATGGAGTGACTCTTGGGGGTGGTCCTGTGCAGGACCAGGCTTTGGACTCTTGGATCCTTGTGGGTCTCTTCCAACTGGGCATACTTTGTGATTCTAGGTGTGCTGCTGTGTCATTGGAAATTATGCTATTCAGTCAAAAATAGGAGGAAAGGTGTGGTTTCAGTTCTGGAAAAGTCTGCATTGGTGTAAAAGAAGCCAGTTCCAAGCACTGCCATTAAACCTGAGATAAAGCATCTTCCAAGCAGGTGTAGCTCCAGAGAGCACAGTTTTCTCAACTTCCAATTGGCTGCCAGACACCTCTGGGGAGTGTCTTGCCCAGGTTTTGACTATGTCGTTAGGAAATCACACTCCTGTGCCCTTTATTGGAGTTTGGCTGTTGCAAAGTCCAGACACAGAGGTTGAGGGACTTAAGTGAGCACTAGGAGAATGGAGCCAGACCATGGGCACCGTGTGGGAACCTGTATGGCAGTGTGCCAGATGTGAGACAGCCTGACTGTTGGCATGGGCCTTTTGGCTCCTCTCCTCTGGCTGAATTGAGCATCAAGTCTGGTTTAGGTTCAAAATACACAGTCTGGTTCTTGCTCTGAAACCCACTGACTCCCACTTGGGCCTCTGGAGAATCCAAATGTAATGGGTCCAATAAGTCCAGCTGCTATTTTTTCTTAGTGAAAGTACTAGGAGGTGTTCTTCAGTTGTGGTTTGAGAGTTTGAACAGTTACAGAAAGATAATAATTTCTTCCTTTTTTTTTTTTTTTTTTTTTTTTGGGACAGGAGACTTTGATGAGGCCATGCAAGATTTCAGGAAAGTATTAGAGTTAAACCCCCAGTTTGAAGATGCTGCATTGAGTCTAAAACAGGCTATTCTTGATAAAGAAGAAAAACAGAAGCGGGGGTATTGAAAATAGAGCTAGTGGCGTGAAAATGTTTTGCTAAACGTGGTTTTTGTCATTGATGGATGAAACACAAGATCGTTTACATCTGTTATGACCTATGAAGAAACCTCATTCTTGGGTAAATAAGTTAAAATGGATATGATTGCAAAATAAACTGTGTTTGGATAGTGTTGAGGATAAGTATAATGTTGGATCTCTGTGAGACACGAATACAGATTTTGTACAGAAATACCTTTTAAAGATGTTGGAAGCTCAGTAGTAGCAAATGAAGCCTTGTAGTTCTCTTACTAAAACTCCTTTATTCATTCACAGATTGTTTTAAACAGTCTTTCATAGGGAGGAAAAATCAAACTGCACAAAACATTTAAATACTTATGATTGGAGCTTGTGAGAAATGCAATAATGATAGTGTTTCTCCACATAGAAATGTTAATTTTATTTAAGCCTAAAGTGCAATTGTTCTTGTAAGATGTTGTCCTTGATATTCTCTATGGTATCTGAATTTCTTCTTCATTTCAGAGTGTTTCTGTGTTAAAAAACATGTAACAGATATAATGAGGTCTTTTTAGGTGACACCATCTGTACCTTGCTCAAGGAATGTGGTAGGAGAATTCAGTCCTTTGTTCATTCGTTCACTCCTGGAGTTAGTTTTACGTTACCTAAACAGGTAGGAACAGAGCACACCTATTTTTTGTAATCCTATTGTAAAAGTTTTGGCCAGATTAATAATTGAGAGAATAAAAATGAACACGTACTTTTTATCTTATGACTGTCTGCAAAGAGCTTATCCTAGAAAATATTCACAGGAGGAATCGTGGCTTTCTCACTGTAATTGAAGAGATCAATTACCTGAAAAATGCAGTGTTAAATCAGTCTGATGAAACTGGCTGTCAATACCCAGGCTGCCTCATTTCTTACATGATAGGAGGGACCATTACTGAAATCATCAGCAAGAAACACTGTTGCATGTTCACAGCAATACAAGTTCTAATAGAAGAAATACTCTCTTGATTGCTCTCATGAGCATTAGGATTTTTTTTTTTTTTAAATAAAATTATGCCAGTGACATTCTGCTTCTTGTGGTTAATTCCTCTGTGGATGATCCCGAGCCTGCACAGGCACAGGGATCACTGAAGATGGTGGGACCCTCTGGGTGAGTCAGTCTGGAGCCTGTGGACGTCCTTCACAGCAGCCTCATTGAGATCACTTACAGCTTTGGGATGACACTGCAATGGCTACAGTGAGAAAATTTGAAACACAGGGATGAGAAAATGCTGCATTTACCTCTCATGCCCCTGACAATTGACTGCAGCAATTTGAAGTTACATAAATACAACGCATGACAGCAGGATGTGACCAGTTTGAGTTTGGAAAGTAGGCAGTGGCCATTCCCCCCCCCAGCAAAGTCTTAATTTTGGACTTTTTGAATATATTAAGCACATGCCTTGCTACCATTTATCTTAGAGCTTTGTCTCCAAAAAACCACAGATAATTTACTGACTTGGCACACTTCTTGCCACCTCAGTCTTAAAAAGTGAGAATTTATACCAACTCTTGGTTGATGGTGAGTGGATGAGCTAGAACTGAACATGTTCTTGACTGACCATTCCAAGAAAATTAGAATAGTTGAATATGACCTATGAACCTTTACTGTTAGAGATTACAGATGTGGTTCTGCACAGAACTGTTTAAATGACAGGATACAGATAAAAATCAAAACAGTGAATAAGTATTTTAGAAAACAAAGATGCTAGAGGTAATATTCCAGCTTGTGGTGTTTTGTGAATATTTCTTAATTACTTCTTGTACAGTCATTGGCACAGAAATATTTCATTGGGCTGGGAGCAGTTCTATCTTACAGTATTTCCTTGTCTGACAAGGACAATTTCCTTGTCTGTTCCTGTCAGGACAAACTGTCATCGTGCATTTCAGCATAATTTGGAATTCTTTCAAAGTAGTTTTGGCCAGTAGGGTTTTCACATTTTCCCCTTTCATATGCGCACGAGTCACTTAGTTCTCTGGCTTTACATCACAAAACTAATTTGGGTTTTCAGTCTAAAATTATTAAATAGTAGTATGTGGTTTTCTTTCACACTGTTGAAAGGGTATTAACCATCATTACTCATATTAAAAAAACCTGAAACTTGAAGAGAAGAATGTATATAGTAACTCCCCTTGTCCTGCAAAGTGTGTCTGTAAAAGTTTTAAGATTTACAAATCTAGTGGAGAGTAATGAAATTCTTTCTATGCAATGCATTGTGAAATTTGTGCAACCTCTCCACCTGTAAAAGGAGTAGGGTTGTGTGCTTTGGATGTTTCATGATGTGGGGGTGCTGTGGGTTTATACCTCCACAGGGCTTTAGGAGTTGTCTCTGCCTGAGAATTCCACACTCCTGTGGAGCGCCGGGGTCAGTCCCGTCCCCTCCACTGCCCTTGGGAAGCATTTGCTGGTCAAAGTCATGGGGCTGCACCAGTATCTCAAACAGGTGGTTACTGTGAATGTACACTGACTCTCTTTACTCTGGCCAGACATGAAACGTGAAAAATCTCTACTTTCCCATGGTTTCCTACCTAAAAACCTACTCCCCCAAAGCCCTTGACCCTTTCCTTCACACAACCATCACTGGCAGCCCCACCCTTTGTTTTGTTCTCCATAGCTGGGGCTAATTTGGCAATGAGTAACTGTTCCCACCTGGCGATTTACCTCTAAACTTACAAAAAATACATTGTTTGCTTAATGCATTACGAAATGACAGTAACATCACTGCCTTACAGGACAAGGCAAAGAGTAACACAATCACTCTGTGCTTTTCCCTAGGACAGTGATTGCCCTACTGAAACACTACTTGCCACACAGCTTGCAGTGTTTCAAGGCCTTTTCCCTTGCTTTTGCAGAAAGGTAGGAAAAGCTGGCAGAATCCCAGGTTAGCAGGGCACAGAGCAGCGTGAGAGGTGTTTCATATGGGTTTAATGTGAGATGTGGCGTGGGCCACAAGGAGAGCCTTTCCAAAGGGAAAGCTGTGGTGTGTTGAGGGCAAAGGGCTGGGTCACCAAGTGGCCGGAATATGTTCCTCTTCCACGTGACTTCCTTCTGAGTGAACAACAGAGGTAAGTTGGCATGAAAAGCCTGAAAGTTTGACTTTTACAAGGGCAGTCTATACTGTGCACTGCCCTGTTCAGTAGGTGACCTGGTGAAAAGTGACAGGAGTGAAAGGTGCACTATTTAAATTTTGTGGTGAACGAATGCCCATGAGTCAAAAGCAGCTATGCAGGTCATGCTCTCTGTTGTCTGCCTGAAGGGGAAGGATTCTGAAAGGTGAAAACAATGTTCAAAACTGACCCTTGCTAATAGAAGAATAATATACAATATTCTTTTATGTTAGCAGATTACTGTGGATCTGCCTCGTCCTTTTAATAAAGGTAGGGTCTGGACCATATAACAGATTCAACCTCATCCAGTGGCTTTGATGGATAATGGAAACTCTGGCTGCTTTTTATTAAAAAAAAAAAAAAAAAAAAAAAAAGAAAGAAAGATTTTGTCAAGGTGGAAGCCCCACCTAACAGCATGTTGTGATCATTTGAGTAGAACTCTAGGATGTTTCCAGGATTTTTTCCTAGATTTTCCCTGTAGGATCCCTTTTGTCTATGAGCCTGGAGAGATGGGATGCAGTCCAAAGCATCGCTTCCTATAGCTCATGATGATCAGATTTTTCATCATTCATGTCTTTGTGTTGCATGATGAACATATGAAATGGACCTGAAGGATATCCTTGTCTCCCGGCAAGGAACATCTGGCCCAGCTCTGTCCCAGACATCACATAACTCCTGTTACTATGGAGAAGGCTGATCAGTGCTTTCCAGGCTGAAGACTCGCCAGCCTGGGGACTCTTGTGTGCTTCTGTGCAATTTAAATAAGTATCTTGCCAATTAATTTTCTCCACATTGTCTGAATAATGAAGGCTTGTTCAACTACAGTGGTATGGGCAGAGTGGTTCCTGAAAGTTAATCCAAGAAAGTCTAAGCCTGTAGGCCTGAAAACTGCAATCTAGGACAGAAATTAGGTGCTGAAATTCTATCTACAACATCTGAGAGGAGGGAGTAATCCCAGAAAAACCTTGCTGCAGAGCAATAGACCTGTACAATAGCATGACTGAGTCATAGCTTGAGAAAGACACTCTCAAAGGTAAACAGTGAATTCCTAACTCTAACACATTGTGCGATTTAGTGTGAAAAACATCATCTCCCACAGCAGCACCCAAAGCAGGAGGAAGAGACCAAGCTCTGGCTTTTCTGTGCAAAGCTGGAAACCTGAAATGCCTGTTGAAATGGGAATGCAGGTCTGTCTCCCCTGCTCCATCTCTCTTTCAACCTATCTGCGGGAGAAAGGTCTCCTCATCTGTCAGATGGTGGATGAATGGGAATGGAATGCTGCTGGACCTCTTCCTGGATTTCCAGGACAAAAGGGGAAGATCTGGAATATCCCACTCACTGCAGACAAGTTTACCTGAATCTACTCTGCAAAGCTGCAGAGCAGGTGAACGTTAGTGATGCCACACCAGACGTGATGCTTCTCTGTGTGGAACTAAGCATTGTCCTGAGAGTGCCAAGAAAAGAAGAGCTAGCACTTAGTCATTATTATTTTTCCCGTCATCCCAGTTTACAGATTTCTAAAGAACTGCATTTTAGATTAACAGAAGGTTATCCTCAGCTGATGAATTTGTTACTGTTATTAAAAATAGGGAATGTGCTCTCCTGGCAGATGCTGGGAGCAGTAATGGGCTCTGCAGTGTTGCCTGTGGACAGCAGAGTGCACTGCTTGTACAGGAGAGGAAGGCAGCACCCAGACGGCTGCAGGGGGGTCTTGGGTTCTTGGCAGTGGCCACAGGAGCTGGGCAAACCCACTGGAGACTGCACAGGTGTGTGCTATCAGCCAGCATCGGCATCAGTGCACTTGCCCCCTCTTCACTGCTGTTAAACAGCTACACATGCTGCAGCCACACCTGCAGTTACAGTGTAGGCACATCCTGAGAGTGGTTACGGGTAGTCATGGGTCAGGTTTGTACTTGATCTCTGAAAAATAATGATGAAAAAGAAAGACTTTCTGTGTGCGCAGAAAACAAAATGCCAGGTAAGTTGTCCTTTTTCCTCAGATCATCTGTCTACTCCCATATTGTAGAGTTAGCCTTTTCCATACAGAGGCAGGTGGGAGGAAAATGAGGAACTAACAGGTTTACAAGGTTCTCAGGTCAATGTAATGGTATAGAAAAAAATCTGCATTAATGAGAAAAAAAAAATAATGTGTTTTTTGTTGCATGTGGAAGAGGCCCTGGCAGCAGGTTGCTTGGCTCTTTGAAGCCAGAGTTGGTACAACAGATGATTGCTGTTGCACATTAGCAAGAGGATGTTCTGTGCTTACATTGCTCTGATGTTTTTTTATTTGACTTTTCAGATTTGCACTTTACATTCAGATGTGAGGATTGGCAGTCACTTTATGAAATATTACAAGAAGCAGCTGTAATCAGGGCTGGAATAATTTTATTGATCTGTAAGTCCGCATTTCAACAGCTGGAAGAAACAAGAAGTGTTATTTTGATGCCTTGGGTCATTTTCTGAGAAGTTTTCTTCTGTAGCCACTTCAGAGAAGTAGCAGGTTACAATATTTACTGATTCTGTTAGCAGACCCTAGAACTTTCCAGTGCTGTCCCACAGTTGGGTCTTGTCACTCCAAGCAAGATAGTTCAGGTGGTCCCTGGAAGTGGTAGCTCCTGTGTCCAGTGGCACTGTTTGGAAAGCAATCAGCACAGCAGAGCCTTCAGGTGCTGCTGAAGGGACACAGACTGAAGTGAGGAGTGGTACTAGAGCACACAGTTGAACTGCTCTGGTTCTCTGAGAGCAAATGAAGCTATAGTATAAACCCTAACTGTTTGGAGATTTGGGCCGTTCAGAAGAATTTGGAATATGGCAGTGACTTGTGCCTTGGTGTTGGATTTTAAAATTTTGGATCCATTTTCTTGT